GCTGTCTGTGATTTATTCACTTTGATCTAGTAAAGGGTACATTCTCCTGGCTTGGGCCTCTAAACTAAGCCTGTGGTTGGTTAGTTATTTATTTATTCTAGGGATGTTAAATTTTGATGAATGAACTAATCGAGTATTCAGTTAGTTGATAAGGGAGAGCGCTTGCTATCCCACTGTGCTATCCCACTGTGCCTTTCCCTTTGAAATGTACAGTAGCTGTCCACAGCGCTTGTATATTTAAAAAGGGAGAGAGGCAGTGGGTTCCTTCTGCTTCTCTGAAATGTACAGTAGCTGCCCACAGTGCTTGTATATTTCAAAGGGAGAGAGGCAGCAGGAACTTGCGCCAGCATGGGAGGAGGGTGTGAAGCGACTAGTCGAGGGACTACTTGACTATGCAATAAGTTTATGCTTATTGGATTGTTAACTAGTCACTTACACCCCTAATTTATTCTTGAGGTCCATAAAAAAGAGCAAATAATTAATGAAAAATAGCACCCTATGCTAATGTAGAATTTGCTAATTAGCAGTGATTATGAGAACACTCAAGATATTAGAATTTTGCTGGTTTGTGCATGTTTAAAATACTGTCAAGAACAAAGTCCCTCTGAGAAATGTGGATGTCAACATCTGTATTTTAAAACTGATTTCTCTACTGAACTACATTTTCAAAAAGTTTGTGTAAATTTAAAAAAAAATACACTGGAGATAAACATTTGATTCACAAGAAATTATGGTTTCCACTTGGACTATTGTCTTGGATTTTTGTTTCCACTTTCCCATGTACTAGCATGACAACTAGTACAATGAGAATAAACACTAATAATTTTAGTGCAACAACTTGAAAATGTAATGATAGAAAAATAAATGTGAAAGGAAGTCTGAAACAGATTCTTAGAAGCATGTTCATTTGCAGAGCGTTCAGAATCAGGAACTGCTCACTGACTCGGCCGGTTTTCCTGGTAACATCCTGGTTGGCAGTAGTTGTGCCTTGCTGGAAAGCTTTCTCTTAGATATCAATGCAGAGAGAAATGATTGCAATATTTGAAAACTCTTTGAACTGTTAGATGTGTTTTGTAGCAACAAACTTTCTTGACATGGATTAAGCATGCAATTACTGTAATACAAATGATAAATAGAAACAAGTAGATTGTATTGATCAGAAGCCAGAAGTTGCTTGGGGGAATATATAAGAGCTGTGCTGCTCATTGGCTTAATATGCTTTATATTTTTGAAGTTTACTGATTTTTAAAGTTTTCCAAAATAAATGCAGCCAGAGATTGTTTGCCAAGGTTATATTTTGATTAAACCTGAAATCCCAGAGAGAGGTGCATTTAACCCTTTCTTTAGTGGCTTAGCTTCTAACCCAATAACAAACATCTTTCTGTTATAGTTTAACATAAAACGTTTGCTATCAAAAATACCGAAAATGTAAAAGTGGCTTTATTTAGGTTTTAGTTGTCTGATTGCTATTGATTTTCAGAGTCATATTGTTAAAATACTGCACAGCTTTTGATTGCTTTTTATTAAGGACAAACAAAAATATATCCAGTAGATGACACAGTGGTTGTAGATACTTTTTTCTCCATGCTGTGAATGACGTTATTAGACTCTTTTTATTAAATAAACCTATCTTATTATGCAGAAAGTCTCACTGTGTAGTACAGGTCTGGTAATAATGCTCCAGATCTTGCATTCCTTGTTTTATATTAAGATTTTTAAGTGTACAGTATTATAAATGGCAAAATAAAGGTCTTAACTAATTCATAAAAACTGCTATTGCGCAACCCACTTATTTTATTACTGATTCCATTGAGTTAAAGTTGAGATGGAAAGCTTCCAAAACAGTCCTATTAAAATTAACCAGAGAGCATATTTATTTTAACAAACTTAACAGGAGAATTTAGATTGTATTTAAAGTTAAAAATACTCTGCTTCTGGTAATATCTTCCCCTCTGCCCCATGTCTTGCCATGACAAAAGTGGAATGTGTTGAATAAATGCAGATAACATTGTGTGCTCCCTATATGGATTTCTTTCTGAAAGTAATATGATTTTTCTTTGACCTTATGTCTAAGATGCCAGTCCCATCTTTAAATATAGCTCCAGTGAAAATGCTTTCAAAGAAAGTATGGGCATTTCGTAATATCTTCTAGGGATGTAAGCGAGTAGTCAACTACCCGATAAGCCTAAGTTTATTGGGTAGTCGAGTTGACTACTCAACTGCACGCTCCCCCCTCCCCTGCCTCTGTAAAAGCCAGTTCCCTCCCAGCACCATCTCTGTGGTGCTGCCTTCCCCCTCCACACTGCTGCTTCTATCAGAGGCAGCTGGGCGGGGGGGAGGAGAGGCTGTTGCGAAGCAGCCTTTGTGAAACTGCTTCAACAACAGCCCCTGTTCATGGGCAGCCGCAAACAGGGGCTGCTGGACTTGTTGTGAGCTGAGACTTGAGCAAGCCTGGCTCAGGCCTGGCTCGCACTGGTACGGTACTGCTGCGGCTCTTACTACATTTAAAATGAAGAGCTGCAGTGGTCCTGGCTCACGCTGGGCTTGGGACCTACTCCCCGCTGTTCCTCTGCTGTTTTAATGTAGTAGAAGCCAGTCTGCCTGCATGCCTGTCTCCTACTATATTTAAACTGCAAAGCTGCTCCTAGACCAATGCAAGGCGGAAACAGTGCCTTCCCTTATCGACTAATCATGTAGTCGATACAATTTGTATCGACTACACGATTAGTCACTTACTCTCATCTTAACATCCTTAATATCTTCCGCTAGTGCACTGTCGCTTACTGGTGCTGTCAGTGGTGGGATTCCGAGTATAGCTCAGTTGCTGAAATGACTGCACTAGTGCTACCGCAATTGGAGCTGTTAGTATGAAATGTCATAAAAGAACTCCGCATGAGTCAACAGTGTGACACTGTTGCAAAAAAAGCAAACATGATTCTGAGAGGCATTAACAGGAGTGTTGTGAGCAAAACACGAGAAGTCATTCTTCCACTCTACTCTGTGCTGATTAGGCCTCAGTTGGAGTATTGTGTCCAGTTCTGGGTACCTCATTTAAGAAACATGTGGAGACATTGGAGAAGATCCAGAGAAAATCATTTTTGTTGCTCAAAGGTCTAGAAAACATGACCTATGAGGGAAGAGTGAAAGAATTGGGCTTGTTTAGTTTAGAAAAGAGAACACTGAGAAGGGACGTGATAGCAGTTTTCAAGTATCTAAAAGGGTGTTACAAGGAGAAGGGAGAAAAATTGTTCTTCTTGGCCTCTGAGGATAGAACAAGAAGCAATGGGCTTAAACTGCAGCAGGGGAGGTTTAGGTTGGACATTAGGAAAATCTTCCTAACTGTCAGGGTGGTTAAACACTGGAATAAATTGGCCAGAGAGGTTGTGGGATCTCCATCACTGGAGATATTTAAGAGCAGGTTAGACAGACATCTGTCAGGGATGATCTAGACGGTGCTTGGTCCTGTTGTGAGGCAGGGGATAGGACTCGATGACCTTTTGGAGGTCCCTTCCAGTTCTGTGATAAGTGTAAGAGCCAGTTTAAACATTGCCTGGGTCAAAACTGTATTTAAAGCCATTTTCCTGTGGAGATTTTTACATTGTTTTTTAAAATAGTTTGCTTTTATTTGCACTGACTGGCCAAACAGCATTAGATGGAACTTTGTGTATAAATACAACTATAAGTCTGTTATGCTTATAAGAAGCACACAGGGTCTTTCTCAGGGGAAAAGGCAATACACTGTGTTTATTGAAAATGCAAAATGAAAAGCAGCATATGCATTCATACACACACGCCGGTCCTGCAGATGGTGTAAAGTTACCTGTCCATCGTGGTTCAAGTCAGTCTTGCTGCCGAGACATGTCCATCATGGTTCAAGTCAGTCTTGCTGCCGAGACAGGATGGACTGAGTGAGGAGTTGGGGTTCCTCTGAGACTCCTCTGAGGCTTGGCTTTGCAGGACTGAATCCAGAGTTTAATGGCAAGAACTTTCTTTTTTATACATGTCAGTTCCTATTGGAGTCCATGGGTATAGCAGTGTCATACCACAATCCTTCATTCCTCAACAGTGTTAATCTTAGGTTTTTCCACTGTTATTCTTTGATGGTTGCTAGGTTTTCCATCACTGTCTCTTGTTTGTGTCTCACTCTTGGGGGTCATAGCTTAATGTGTGGAAACAAATATACATTCTGGAAAAACCAGCAAATATTTTATTTAGGCATCCAATGCCTTCAGCAAATCTCTCTATATTTAAAAAAACTTTTCCTGTGGATGATAGAATGACATCATCATGTCACTTTGCATCCCGCAGCCCCTTCCTCCCTTGCCTCCTTGGTGCTCGGCAGCCTGGGTGAAGAGCGCAGGTCCAGTGAGGCCCTGGAGGGCCCTCCTTCCCAGATGGTGGCTGGGGATGAAGAGCATGCAGGGCCTGCAAGCCGCCTCTTCCCCCTCCCGGCTGCCGGGGGAGAAGCTAGGCGCAACCTTGCCCAAGCCCCTCTCCCTGGCAGCTGGGGGGAGGAAAGAGCTAGGGCTGGTTGGTGGGGGAAAGGGCCAGCGAAGGCAAGAGCAGGGGCGGAGGCGGGGGAGAGCCAGGACGACCATGGCCTTGTTCTGGCCCAACCCCCTGTCCGCCTGAGGGAGTGAGCTGAGTCAGCTGCGGTCTTGACCTCAGCCCTCTGGCAGGCCTAGCCCTCTGGCAGCTGGGTCAGCTGCAGCCTTGGCCCAGCCCAACCCTCTGACGGTTGTGAGGGAGCTGGGGTGGCTTGGCCTTGGGGAGGGGGCCCTGGCAGCTGGTGCCAGAGAGCAAGACAGGCCATGGCTTCCGTGCCTCGGCTTGGCCTTTCCCAGCGGCTGGGGGGGAACTGGGGCTACCTACCCCCAGAGATGAGGGTTGGCAAGTGTAGCGAGCAGGGGTACCTCCCCCTAGTTTATTTTCTGAAAACTGTCTTTTGGAACCAAAAACAGAATGAGTTTTTTGTTTAATGCTGAACTTACTTAGTGGAATGTGAAACTAATTTGTCTTATGTTCTTCTCTGCAGCGTGGGAAAAAAGAAAACCTGTTTACAGCATTCATTCGTGGTTCTCCAAACAGCATTTGACCTTGCTAGAAATTTGTCATGCAGCCACCACCACAGACAGTTCCAGCAGGGGCTGGTGGACCGCCTCCTGCAGGAATTTCTCGGAATACGTATTGGCGTAACAGCCCACTTAGTAGACGGGCAAATGCACCAGTCTCAGGAGCAACTGCCCCGGTGCAACCTGTGACAGATCCTTTTGCGTTTGGGAGGCAAACTCCACAAGGTTCCCTGTTAGGTAATCCATCCAAAGGCAATCCACTGGTTCCGCCAGGTCCTACTCCATCAGTGTTTCCTCGTCCAGCTGCTGTGCATTCTTTTCCATCATATGCAGGGGAGAATTCTCATGGACTGCCTACATCTTTACGAACATCCGCATCGCAACCAGGAACAAACTCAAACACATTTTCTAATGTGGTGATTCCTTCATCACCAGCACGTATTATAAATAGCACGGCAGAAATGCATCCAAATGCAGAACATGGACGTTATAATTCTTCAGCACAGTCGCTTTCTAATACAGGAGCAACACCTGAAAATTCTATCAGTGGACATGTGGCAAACAGGCCCCTAAGCAGGCAAGATATTAATAGGGATCCAAGCAACACTAATTCAGTACCTACAGCAGCGCCATTCCTCCCACCACCTCTTCAGCAAACTCCACCTCAGTGGAGATCCAGTCGAGAGAACCTGCAGCCTCAAGTTCACAACTATTGGCCCTATGTTGAGCCACCGTCTCAGAACGCAGTTTATAGTGTTGCTCACTCTTCTGCTGTTACATCCCATCTTCCACCCCAGGCAAATCTGCATCAGAGTCCTGTACATCAACATATTCCACAAAGTACCATGCAAGCACCTTCGCCCATTGGTCATGAAAAGAATGAAATAAGCAGCTTCCCAGTTGCCAACCACCATGTGAATAGTTTTCAGCCTGAAAATATGTTTAGACAGAATATAGGGATGACTAATCCTTGGCCAGGTCCACCTTACCAAGAACCATTTTACCCACAACCTCTTTTACCAGATTCTGGTTTTGTGAATCCCATCACTCAGGAAAACAACCCCAAAAATCAATCTCAACATTTATCTGAAACACCAAGTGGACAGACATCCACCCATGCAGATTCAGGAACTATCTCCATGTTTTTCAAAGGGGATGAGGCTGAAAATGAAGAAATACTTTCATCAGAAACACATGATCTGTCTGGTAAAGGTAACTTGGATGCTTGTCAGCTCAGTTCAGGACATACGTACTTTACCAGACAGATCATGTAACTTAGATGCTTGTCAGCTCAGTTCAGGACATACGTATCATCAGCCACTGCATCCTCAGCAGGCTGCAGCTAATGTTCTGTCTCAAGCACAGGTTAACATAGGCTCAGCTAATGAGACAGTGCAGAAGGGACCAGATGCCCCATATTCTTCTAAAACTATAAGCAACCAACCTGACACACAGGTCAGTAAAAACTCTATGTATATTAGTGATGACAAAGCAAATGTCAGCAAAGCTCATGGGAATGTTGGGTCACATTATGAAAATGTTGAGAACCTGGAATGCATTCAGAATCAAGAAGTTCTGCCAGGTGAACCACAGAATATTAATCGCTCGTCCCCAAGTCTAGGTTCTGATCTGTACAGATATGGGCCACTGCCAGGGCCGTTGCTTCCAAAGAACACCAATGTGAGCCATACAGGAGGAGGACCAAATCTAGAGGCACCCGACTCATTACCTCATCCTGTCCGATCTGATAGTGTATCCTCAAACTACAGCAACATAAGCCACAGGAGTGTTTCTAGTTCAACAAGACCCCAAGAGCTTGTTGGCACATTTATTCAGCAAGAAAGTGGGAAGCCTGATGAGTCCTCTACCAGTTTCTTTAAGCAAATTGACTCCTCTCCTTTGGGAGGAGATTCAAGTGAGCCACATGTCAGCAAGAATTACCACAGTAATCTGTCCCAGCCTCCAACTCCAAGTCCCCCCAAACCTACAGGAATATTTCAGGCAAGTGCAAATAGTTCTTTTGAACCAGTCCGGTCCCATGGGGTTGGGGTAAAACCTGCAGAGGTTGACCAAGCAAAGATGGTGGTTGAACTAAGAGAGAATCAGTCAAACCAAAAGAATATTAAGATAAATACGGCTGTGCCAGCTGCCTCACCTGGTAATCTTGAACAGCCACCAGATAATCTGGAAACTATTTTCATGCCCCAAGTACATCCATTGCCTCTTACAGTCACTGGGGAACCTGGAAACATGTTGCAGCCTGTTAGTGGACCTGTTATGGAAAACATACAATTGATACCTGAGAAAAGACCCTCCACAAGAGCACAGGGAGCAACTAAAAAATGCGAGAGTCCAGCAACAACTCTCTGGGCTCAAAATGAGTTACCTAACTTTGGGGGCAATGTTCTTCTAGCCCCGGCTGCTCCTGCAGTGTATGTACCTGCCAAACAGACAGTGGAAATTATTCAACCACCTGAAGAAGGGCTGTCCAGTCAGCAGCCAACTAAACCAGAGTCTATTCTTGTGCAACCATCCCAGCATGGAAATGTATCTTCTGAAAACCTTGAGAATCCTCCCAAAATCGGAGAAGAGGAGACACTTCAGTCCCAGGCAAGTTCCGGTTATGCAAGTTTGTTGTCTTCTCCACCCACGGAGTCTCTGCAAAATCAGCCTATCTTGATTGCCCAACCCAATCAGAGTTATAATTTGGCTCAGCCAATTAATTTTTCTATTTCTTTGTGTAATCAGGTAGCCAGGAATGAAAATAATCTTTCACTGAAAGATCCTGGAGTTGAAGATAAATCTGTAACAGGACTACAAACTCCACATGCTGGCGGAATCCTCTCTGGGGAAAGTATACCATTGTCTATGATGCAGGTTGGATCTTTAGTTAATACACCTCAATCTTCTAATCCGTCACATTCTAATTTATTACAAAGCCCTGTTCATTCTTCTGAAATCACCTCAAATCCGTCCACAAACTTGCTGATGCAACCTCCATCTCAGACTCCACTTAATTTGGCTCCAGAAGCTCAAAGAAATGCTAGTTCAGAAGGTTGCCAGCCTGAATTTACCAGTATGCCTGGCTCTAACTCAACTGTTCCTCCTGGGACAAACATCCCCAGTGGAAATGCAAATGTGGTGTTAGTCCCACCAGTGAATACCATGGTGCCTAATAATAATTCTACAAATGATTCATACAGTCATGTAGAAGCTTCTGGAGCACTTGATTTTACAGTAACACGGACACTGGAGAAGAGCAAAACCAGTAATTCTGTACAGATGCATAATCCATTACTTTCTTGTGGTCCGGTATTTCCTCAGCAACCAGTCAATCATGCCAGCTCCATGGGGCCAGATGCACATGACAAACAACATTTCTATCAACAGGTAACAAAAGATGTGCAGCTTCAGGCTCCTTCAGACAGAGCCCCACAGGGAGCATTGCTTTCTCAGCAACAAAAGCAGACTGCTCAAACACCACAAATAGTACCTAGTGGGCAGTCCTCGATTCCTTCAAATTATCAGATGGCTTCAGAAATTAAACCTACTCAAGCACCACAGCGACAAGAGAATCAGGTGCCAATTAATAGGTATTATCCAGCGGGTCCGCCGGAGGGTAGTTCAACACAGCCACCCACAAGCTGCAGTCAAATAAGCCCTGATAAACAATCATTTTCTGCTCAGTCACTGAGTGCTCCAACTTCATCAGCATCTGTTACCAGTAGTCAGCCAGCAATGCCAACCATGCAGCAAGAGCAGAATCCACCACCACCTCAGACGCCTCAGGATGCCTTTGGGCCAACACAAAACCCTTACTACTATTACAGGCATCCTTATGATGCTTATCAGGCTCCATATCCACAGCCGTATCCTCCCGTGGATCCTAGAACAGCAGCTCAACTTTATTACCAGGTAGAGCCAGAACTTTTTTCTTCTCTTTCCTAATTGTATTGATGTATTTGGTAGCTTTTTTTCGTCTTTGAATCATAACAAAGTGTTTGAAGAGATTAATAGTATAGCATTTATCTTGAAAGATTCACTTTCTATTTTACTGTAGACTTAACATGATGCAAGAACTCATCCAAAACTAGGTAATGGGAGAGCCTGTGGAAGGACTTTTTGGGAACATTTTCATTACTAACTGGCAGCTTTAAAGCTAACAAACATGATTCATATCTGATGTTAGAAATAGGGATGTGAAGGACTAGTCGACTATCCAATAAGCAAATGCTTATCGGATAGTCAACATCCTAGTCCAGTGTTTCTCAACCAGTGGTACGAAAACCCTTAGGGGTATTCAAGAGGAGTCTGTGAGGTACGTCAACCTAACTGAAATTTGGAGAAAATGGAATTTTTGTTTTAAGTTTTACAGCGTTTTATTATTTTTGAAATTTTTGGGTGTAAAAATTTCAAAAATAATATCACCCACATGGCTACGATTAAGTTGTTTAAACAAATCTGTTGCAACAGTAGAAAAAAAATGTGTCTGAAAATTGTAGGCACTGGGAGTATTTTTTTTTTAAAAAGGGTGGGAGTACTTTATAAAAAAAAAAAAAGGGTTGAGAAACACTGTTGTAGTCGACTAGTCGCTTTCCCTCCTCCCCCCACTGCCTCTATCAGAAAGAGGCAGGGGGAGAGGAAGGGGTACTTCAAAGCGGCAGCGCCACATGAAGCCCAGGGCCAAACTCCAGGCGCCATGTGGCGCTACCACTTTGAAACGCTGCATGCACCCCGTGGCCAGCTGGGATGTCCCAAGGCTCCACATGGCTTTTCAAAGCAGCAGCGCCATGTGGAGCCCGGGATCAGCTGGGGACTCCCCCGCTGACCGGGAGGTCCGTGCGGCACTGTCTCTTTGAAACACAGTGTGGAACCTGGCATCAGCTGGAGTCCTCAGCTGATCCTGGGCTCCACACGGCACTTTTGCCCTATCAATCGACTAGCCAATGCACAATGCATCAATTATTCGATTAGTCAATTAGTAGATATTTAACATCCTTAGAAAGCAGAATCGAAATCCATAGAAAAATAAATTTACAATCAGGAGTGTGAAAACCCAGACCGAATTGAAAATAATGGGTAATGAGGTTCTTAGAGTTTAAATTAGAAGCAGATTTAAGATAGGAAATGGGTATTTACTATTAATTTCTAATACAGGTTGAACCTCTCTAAACTGGGACTCTCTGGTCTGGCAACATCTGTGGTCCAGCAAGACCATGGATGTTCCAGGATCAGCAAGTCCTAGTAAGAGGATTGGCAGCCGGGAGCACTGCAGACTATCAGGGCAGTGGGTTGCTAGTAGTGGGGCTGCCCAACAGTACCAAGAGGCCTGATAGGATAGCAGGGCCGGTGGCAAGTGGGGAGCCAGCTGGGAGGCCGGTGGCCAGGCCAGTGCTGATAAGTTTGGTGGCAAGGAAGCCAGAAATGACTTCCCCTGGTCCGGCAAAATCCCTCATCTGGGTCCGGTCAGGTCCCAAGTGTGCTGGACCAGGGAGGCCAAACCTGAAGTGACAGTGACTCCTATCTGACCACTGTTGTATTGGCCTGTGTGGGGAAAAAGGTTTCAACCTTGTCCTGGTGAGTTGGGTGTCCAAATCATAAAAATGGTGTAACTCCCATGTGGGAATATTGACAATTTCAGAAGTATTTTCTTAAATCTGGTTTTAAGGCAACGGTGTAGCCTTCTATACCCTTTGTGGCAAGATAATATCCTTCAATATCCAGGACTGCCAATGCAACAACTCTTGTGGGTGCTAATTTCAATTTTAAACTTTTAAGGTGGGGGAGGGGAAAGAAAGAAAATTGAGTTTTTAGAAAAGGGATAGCCATAGCGGGGAAAGGAGAGGGAGGAGGAGGGTGTGTGTGTGTGTGTGTGTGGAGGTGGTTGTTTTTTATTTCTTGTCAGATTTTCAAACAGTTTAACTAATAGGTTTTTATATATATAATCTAATCTTCTTGAGGAGGACGTCTATGGACAATACGGCCCCCGCTACCCACCCTATGATAGAAGCAATCCTGCCTATGTGGAGCCTGGTGGTTATCGATATGGTGAGCCTGAGCGTCCTAGTTCCAGAGCTAGTCAGTGCTCTGACAGACCTCCTTCTAGGTATGTAATTATGGAACTCTGCAAAGGTTTAGCGTGTTCTGATGTATTACATTTAATTATTCATAATGAATTTTTGTCTTGTGCAATATGAGAGCTAGATGGTGTGAAATGAGTGTCAGTATTGACGAAGTTCAAATTACACATGTTATTACAGATATAATCTATTACATTCTATTAAACACATAATCCCAAAGTAAGAATTGCATATTGTTGCTTTTTAAATGTGAGGGGACACTATGCCATGTTTAAAATTACAGTGATATGATCGTAGTCGTCTCCTTCATGCCCATTTGTAGGCTGCCATTACAGGTTTTTTTCCCCTCAAAGGGGGCTCAATAAGAGAATCACTACTGATGATATCTATTTTCCAAAGCTGTCCACTGAGAGAGTAACGCAGGTTGCAGCCTCCCAGAGTTTAACGGTAACTCTTACGCACAGCTTTGTAAGAGGTAAATTCTTCAATCCTGTTAAGAAATTACATTTTTGCATGTACCTCCTGGGATTTGCTTTTGAAAACATTCCAGTATAGGTTGCCTACTGAGAGAGAGATTTTTGTTTTCAAATGGGAGAGAGGGTGGGAGTCAGATGAGAGAATCCGCAGTTCTGCATCAGCTCAACTTTTTAGTGATGACTTTCACGATGGCAATAAGCTCTATCCAATTAACTAATAAAGTAGCATAGAGTTATAGGAAGAAATGTGGCAAAACAAGCTTGAAGAAAGGAATGCATTGAAATTACCGTGGTCAATCAGAAGGAGCCAGTTACCGTTTTTGAGAGTAACTAGCTTATAATGAATGTTACATGAGTGATTTGTAGGCTTTTTCATTCATCACAAGATGTTGCTGTAGCAATGACATGTAGTTAAGAAGTCAGTAGGCTCTGAGAGAATGGATCATCCACTAGAAATTACGAACCCCCGGGCAGTTACCATCAGCTATAGTTTTCAGATACAAATCTGCCATGGAAACTCTTTCATATCTTATGTATTGACAGCCTCTAAAAGTAATGGTACTGCTCCTTAAACCCATAACCTGTTCAAGCAGCTGGAATAGTTTTGTGCACATTTGAACCTCCAAAAACACAGTGAGAATTTGTAACAAGATAAATTAATGGGATTGCACTATCTTCATAGCATTGTTCTTAGTGCATCACTGTTACACATAGTATTTCAGAGCCTTGAAGTATTATTCTTACCTACTTGCTGTAAATTTTTTTTTTTTGAAGAGACACATAAAATTTAGTCTCCATTATAATAGATTTTTTGTTTGGATTTATAAATATTCCTGACAGTTTATTCAGTAACACAGCTTTTTTGTCCCTTCTATTAAATGTTTTTAATGCTTTTATAAAGTTCATATCTACTCTTAAGACTAAGCAAAATGGAGTTATTTTTTTTTAGTCAAAACCCTACCCAAACTAACAAATTTCTATTAAAAAAAAATCAGTGTTTTATTGTGCAGTCTTATTAACTTAACTCTTGGCCCTGGCTCTCAGTGGTGGGTTAAGATTTTTAAAAGATCTAAATGGGAATTGGTTGCACCTGTTACGCTGGTTGCACCTTTCACGATCTCTTTAGCCACTTGTGGATTGTACACTAATTACGTGATGGGTTTGTGGTGTGGACAGAGACTTTCATATTCATTTAATTTGTGGCATTGGTTACTAACAAGTCAGTCTCCACTACACACTTGTGCCTGACTTCACATGAGTGTCTCGAGTTGAGAATAATTCTCAATATCTAGTTAGCTACTGGCAGCCTCAGATAAGCCAATTGTAGCAATGGCTTTCGTGATGTTTAGTTGTCCATAAGTGACTGGACTGACAACCAAATCCATTCACAGAGACTAATCTGTTACAACTTTTAGTTGCTGATAGCATGGAATGTGATTTGAATAGTTATCTGGTCTATAGGTTCTGGTTCCCTGAACCTTCCGCTTCCTGTAACTGCATTTTTTAAAAATTATTATAATGGCTGTTCTGCTGTTATTGTGAGTATAACCAAAAGCTACGTATTTATTTTCTAACATCTTTAAGAATAGTTACTGTGCCTCTTTTAATAATGGCATTTTATCTTGTGTATTTTTTCTCTTTCAGACAGGGTTATACCGAAGATTATTATAATTCAAAAAGTGGTTGGAATGATTACTATGCAGACTACTATGCAAACGCATATAATTATGGAGGTACAGATGGACAATGAATTCTGATTTTTTTGAGGAGCTGGGAAGTGTGTTTAAAAAAAAAAAAAAAGCATCAGAGCACTATTGTAAAACTAAATTTGTGGCCTTTTGCTGAAGTTGTGACATTGACACGTTTGCCATAGCTAATGAGCAGGGCTCAACAAACCGCGGCGAAAACCACTTGTCAGCCTCACGCTGCGCATGCACGAACCGCCGGTGAACGGGGCGACTGGCTGAAATCTACTCGCCATGGGCGAGTAGATAAGCAGATTTGTCAAGCCCTGTTAATGAGAATAAAACCTTTAGTTTGTTGAAAACTGATCTTCTGCATTGCAGTTAGGGATATAAAGGGTTAACCAGTTATAAGGCTATTAAGAGGCGAGTATTTCACTAATCGTGTAGTCGATAAGGGAAGGCTTGCTCAGTCCCTGCTTGCGCCAGGTCCGGGAGCTACCCCCACTGCGGCTCTTAAATGTAGTAAGAGCCAGGCACGTAGGCAACTCAACTCCTACTACATTTAAACTGCAGAGGCGCAGCAGGGGTAGGTCCTGGGCCTGGCTCCTGCTGCCTCCAATAGAGGCAGCAGGAGAGGGGCAGCGGTGGCAACATGGAGGCACCAGTGACACCAGCTCCCACCCCCACCACCTCTGTATCCAAGGCAGCAAGGGGGTGGGAAGTGAGTAGTTGACTTGACGACTTGCTTAGATCCTTAACCAGTTACCTGGTAAGCATCACTTGGTGCGGCAGGCCCAGCCAGTGTGGAGCAGCTGCTCGCCCGCTGGATCCCTGTTAACCCGTAAAATTTAAGGTTTCACCAGTTAACTTTTTAAATGGGACTTTACATCCCTAATTGCAGTTGTCCTTAATGCTCTGCTGTCCTCTCTCTATCCTTGGCTTAGGAGGAGGAAAAAGCAACAAATTAAATTTGAATTAATTATTTTGATTCCCTATTTGGCAATGAGGAAAGTGGTCAAACTTTCCTTTTACCATGGTAAAATTATACAGTGACATGTATGGAATTGCGTGCTGTAGTGTATAACATGTCACCGTGCCTACTTGTGCCCAAACACATGTACTGTAGACAGGCTCTTAATCAATGGAAAACTAGTTATCAGAGCATAAATTGACTCTACTTCTAAATGTTGCGCTCTAAACAAATCATATGCTCCCCAGTCATCCATGGTGTAACAGTGTTTTGGAGGTCAGCCCTTGAATTCTGTCAGACCAGTGGGAATTGGGGTTACAGTTCTCTCTTTTCCTGCAAGAATTTCTCCTCCAAACTCTAGGATTTTACATTGGGGGATCCCATATCTTCTTGTGGAAATAATTTTTTCATAATAATATCATCATTTAGCCTCATAATAATTTAGATTGGAAAACATCTATTAGATTGAGAGCCCATGTTTTTGAAAGAGTACAGTATAGTATCTGGCTACGGTATATAACAATAATCTGATCATTTATACTTGGGTGTAACCAAATGTATCACAGAGACTTGAGATTGATTTACAGCTTTTTTTGTTTACAGTTCAGTCTGACTTTCATTTGGCCTCATTTGATTATGGCAAAACTATGAATTAACATATTTCTATTAAAAAATTAGTATCTCAGTTTTGTTAGTGGATTTGTACAGTAGTTATCTCAGATGCTAACAAAACATAGGTGGATGCATTTCGGTAGAGAACAAATAGAGAAATGCTGTGAGAAATGTACTGGATTAAGATATTAAATTAAAACTTGTATTTTTTTAAAGACCCAAGTCGCTGGGCATCAGCATATCCATCAGCATATGACTCCAGATATAGAGATCCCAGAAGTTATGACCAGAGATACTGGTATGATGCTGAACACAATCCATATCAAAAGAGAGAGGCATATCCATATAACAGGTTTGTAATCCAGGCCTTTTATTTGGAGGTTTTGAGAGTTGGCTCTGTTGCATAATTTACTATCCAGATTATCCAGAAAGGTTCAAAGTTTCAGGTTATTCTGTAAAATTTCTGGGCAATGATTTTTTTAATTTGATTTCCAGGAAATGTAACTTAGTCTAGGTAGGCAAATCTTTTGTATGGCAGACTCTTAAAGTGTTAGAGAGATAAAACAGGATTTTTTTGCCAATCTGCATGTGTTCTTGATGGCTAGGAGAATTTTTATGGAACTTGAGGTATCTTAGATAAACCAGTTTTGAGAGACTGATTTTTAAGAAAAATGGAATTTATTTTGTAACTAGCTTTTTAAATAAATAAGTACAGAGTTTAAATGGAAATCAAAGTAGACAAATGTTCTCTTTGAAGTTTTCTGTGTTAGATGAATTCAGAATGGGGTGTTGGTCTTAAACTGCAAAAAACTAGGCTCTTCAACAGCTTCTCTAAAAATTATATGGTGAAAGGCAGCAGGGTAGATAGCCACCTTGGGGCAAGGTGTGTGGGTGGGTGGGTGTCTGGAGCGGGGGGCAGTTCCAGGCCCCCGAAAGGAGTAAAACTATGGGCAATCAGCTCGCAGCATCACCCAGGCTATGGTACTGCCCTCCCTTCTCCCAGCCCTCAAGTGTTGTGTGGTGCAGAGGTGAAGCTCTGGCTGGTGGCTGGAGCCCTAGGCCCCTTTGAATCACCAGGCCCGGAGCAACTGCCTCCTTTGCCCTCCCTGTCAGCAGGTTTGGTTAAAGGGATACTGTCAGAGTAAAATGATGTCTCTTTAAAAATTGATTTTCATGCTTTTGTTGTTAACATGATGACTAAAAAATTAAAACTATATTCTTCATTATCTGTTTACTTTTTGCACTTTATTTTTCTCAGTGAACACAAGATTAGTCAGTTTCACTCTTTGGTTCTCATGTACTTGCTGTAAATTTGGGTTTAAATCACAGCAAGAAAATATTCTCAAGTGAAAAATAATTGAAGATACTGCTATTACATTTGGTTTTGGACTGTGTCATACAAAGCCTAAATCTGTGGGCTAGTCTGTGACGTTGTTTCTTTAGTCTCTAGTCAATGGAAACAAAAATCCACTGAATTTAATTCTTCCCACAGTATAGGCCCTTATCTTTATTTTCGTATTTCATTGCTCTTTAGACCTGACCAATATGAAGATCACTGGCGATATGATCCTCGCTTTGCTGGGAGCTTTGATGATGAAGCTGAGCCTCACAAAGACCCTTACGGTGATGAATTTGACAGACGAAGTGTCCACAGTGAACATTCTGCCCATAGCCTCCGTAGTTCCCACAGTGTTCATAGCCGTCAGAGCAGCTTCAGTTCTCGCTCTCAGCAAGTAAGTTTCCTATGTGTGCATCAGGTGTTTGACTTTATTCTGTTAACCTGTTTAATGCTGGGAATGAGGTGACCTGACAATATCTTGGACCAAATCTCTAGAAGATCATAATATACAAAGGCTACTCTTCTGTTCTTAGCTTGGGTAATAGAGGCATATTTTGAAAGTTCATAGTCAGCAACTGGAGATTGAACATTTGTGCCATAGCATGCACTTGATTTTAAAATATTTATTTGGTAGATTTTTTGATTAGGACCAGGGCTCAAGATGTGCTTGGTGCCACATAAGAATATAGGAAGAAACTGCCTCTTTAGTTAAGAGCTCGATCCTACAATTTACTGGGCATAGGAGAACTGCTACAGTTTGCTAAAGTTGAGAATGGATCCACATTTATATTTGTATATGTCTTGTTCCTCCCATCATCACAGACATTAAAATCTAATTCTGGTCTAAAATGTGGAATATATTTAAAGAGATTGGACCATTAAATTGATATGTAGAACAGTTTTCTGTTAGGTTTTTAAATTAGATTACTTATCTGCTTTTCAGTACAAATGCACAGATACTTCCTGAAACATTCTAACTAGTAGATGGTTCTTGTATACTGTTAGTAGAGTCTACATTTACATATCTCTAGTCTCGTATGTTAACTTTTTAGCAATCCAGATATAATCTTAAATATAGTCATCCATTTGGGACCCAAATGTTTCATTGATATTGGACATGGAGAACTGGAGATCGTACAGGCATTTCTGCTGAGTATCCATCCTTAGTCAAGTTGGATTTTCTCACTCAGAAAAGGCACTATAAGAGAGGTTGTGGTATCCTGTCTGAGTTGCAGATGCACAAGCACTATATGGCTTTTTATTTGTAGCATAATGAACATGCATAATCATTTAAAGGATGGGGAGAGGAGTTGGTGGCGAGAGAAGTAAGCCCACAAATGCAGACTGAGGTGAGCAAATCAGATTGTAAGAGGGGATCAGAGGGAAATAGAGCATTAAAACACACCTAAACTATTTTAGCTCATGTCCACTATGCCACTTGATTCAACAGGCGGTTTGCGTAAGTCTAATGAAGTCCTGGGCAACTTACTGTATTGAAATACTTGTAAAAGGAGCCCATATAGCTTCTGAGTAGGAGATGAAAAGCAACTCCATTCTGTTCGCCACTTTGTTCAGCCCACGTGATTCTTTCCCCTCCTGCTATTATGTCTTTAATACAGCAATTACTAATGTTCTATTCAGAGCCAGCTTTATAGAAGCAACCATGATCTGACAGCTAATGCATATGAAACCACCACCCAGCCAGTCTCGCTTCACACAGATTATCCATACGGAGGATACCCTGCAAACTTTGATGGTCAACAGCCTTTTACAGATTATGGCTATCCAGCTGAAACTGAATGGTCATCAGTAGAACAAGGTATTTGCAGAAATGTGGGGAAGGTTGGGAGAGAGTAGTTGACAATTCTTTGCTTTTGTGTCTTTCATTCAACTTTAAAATGTTATACAAACATTTATCAAGCCTACTGGTGGTAAAAACACCTGTGTACATAGCAGATGTTAAACCGATAACAGTAGAATGTGTTCCCTATTTGCAGAGTCATTGATGTGAGCTATACCTATGTTAAGTTTTGCTCACTGTGAAAATAGCCCAGGATAGCACAAATAATAGACTGTCACTGAACAGTTCCCTTATTTTATGGTCAATTATTAATTGCTACTGGTTATGTATTAAGTACTGCACACTTATTTGCATTTGTGGTGTTTTGGTGTAGAACTGTGTGTATACTAGTAGGATGCTTAAAACTTTCTTGCATCCAGGCATGCTTTGAATTAGATCTACTTTTTGCTTCATGGAGAATCTTTTTAAAATAAATATAGTTTAGGAACAATTCTGTTTATATAATCTGATTTTTTTTCTATTACCCTTGCTTCTTGCAGTTAAACAGCAGTGTTTCTAAAAACAGAGTTGTTCACTTCCTAAAGTATGGGCATTTCTTTAAGAATATATTTGTCTCAAGTCCTAAAACATTAGAAATGCATAAAAATGAACTGAGAATTGATAAGCAGTATGTCTATGGGGAAAATATCGTATTAAGTTTTTTGTACACAATTTTTTCTCATAATAGCTAATTTCTGAGAGGTCTGTCCTCAGTACTGTGGCTTGCATTGATAGAACAGGATAGCTGTTACCTTTTTAAAGATCATATTCAGCCAACATCAGTAGCAGGTTTATTTCATGTTTGCTTTCTATATAAACTATATAGAAAACTAAATGAAATGTTAATAACTAAGTTGCTGCAAGGTAATTAAGTCACTTAATTTTGATTTTTTTGCTCTACTGCAGTCCCATCAAGGCCCTTGACACCTGAGAAATTTTTAGTGCCTCATGTCTGTGCAAGGTTTGGTCCTGGGGGTCATCTGACAAAAGTGCTACCAAACCTGCCTTCAGAAGGACAGCCAGCTTTGGTTGAGATACACAGTATGGAGGTAAAGCAAAAGTACATCAGGAGTACAAATGTGTTATATTTATAAAGTCTATTTTTCCTAAAGGGAAAATGGGGGCACTTCCGTGGTGTTATGCCCATACAACAGAAAGCCATTAGTTTATAGAAAAACAAATGTTAATTCTTTGTTTTTGTAAGTTTCCTTATTTTCACTTTCAGTTTCTTCTGCAAGCCTTAGTGTAATATCCTCTTTTCTTACTAAGGCATTTGATAATTTAAAAAAGGATTTCCAACTCCTAGGAAGGTTAGGGTCTTGATTTTCTTTTTGTACACGGCCATTGACTGAGTCATGAGCATTTGTACATTTCTCTGCCAGCAGCCATGGGGACAGTTGGCTATCTTGGTGTATGGCCTGTGGCTGTGAATCTCTGAGCCTGTGTTGTCCAATTCAGGCCCACAAGACCTTGCATTACCAAGCTAAAAAAAGGCTGTGTAGATGTTGTTGGTTGGGCTCTCAAGCCCACCATCTCCTTAAGCAGCTAAGCTGCAGCCTAAGCCACATCATCTACACAGCCATTTTTAGCACAAATTCAAGCATGACACTGTTGACTCAGGCTTGGAGATTCACTGTGTAGATGTTATAAAGTATTTGATCTCCTTTCAACGTGAGTATTTCTCTTTCTCTTGCAACTCCACCAGTGGGCCAAAGGAGTACAAGTTTTGGTCACCAGCTAGATGTGGACTGATAGAAGAGAATTCAGGGAAGAGTGATGGGAAGTTTGGGATCTGAAGAGTAGAATGTGACCAAGATAGAACACCATTATCTACTAGTATTTTAATGATGTACAGAGCAAGAAGGCAGAGGAATTATATTGAATGTCCTAAGGAGATGGGAAAAGGAAAATATAGTGTTAGCAACAGGAAATGTTTCCCATGAGATCTTACGCTGTGGAATAATTTCTCATGGAAAGTAATTAAAACATTTAAACCAAATTGGATGGGGCCCTAACAAACATACTGTAAAAAACTCAGCTCTACTGTCCAAGAACGATGGCGTAGATGACACTATAGGTAACATGTAGCTTTTTCGGATACATTGTTGGGTACAAAACAAATCACTGTACAAATAGTGGAATTTATAGCAGTAAGAGTTTCTCATCTTGCTTTTTTGCTTCATTTTTTTTAGACTATGTTGCAACATATGCCAGAACAAGAAGAGATGAGAGCCTTTCCGGGCCCTCTGGCTAAGTACGTTTTATGGATGTAATAAGCTATTTTAAAGTGTTCTCAAGTTTAATTTTTCCTTATTTTGTCTGACTGCAAATAATAGATTGTTTTAAACTGGTTTTATCAGTTATCTATATTCCACAATCCTAAATGTTGTTGAAGGTTTAACTTCTACAGATTCATTTTGGTGATGATGTCGGACACGTCATACTGATTCTTTGTTTCATTGTGCACTTTTCTTCCTCTTCCAGAGATGAAACCCATAAAGTGGATGTCATTAATTTTGCACAAAACAGAGCCACACAGTGCTTTCAGAATGAAAATCTAATTGACAAAGAGTCTGCAAGTCTGATTTGGGATTTTATTGTATTGTTGTGCAGACAGAATGGGGTATGTCTTATTTCTTAAATCTTTGTAAGCTTTCCCTTGATGCCCTCAGGTCCATTTTCAAAGCTTTTATCTTTAGGTTTTAGATAAGAATCTTTAAGATATAGGCACTTCGTTAATGTGAGTGGCAAGAGTACATAAGGTGTGTGTTGGGCCAAGAGTGTAGGTCAGATGCTCAACAGGCATGTATTCCTCCTTAGTCTTGCTGCTTGAAGTGCCAATTAGGAGGAGAGCACTGAGGCTTTGTTGATTTAGTCCTGCTGGGGTATCTGAAGATTGGGACATCCAGTCGTCTCCTTTTATCCAACCCACTGCATCGTTTGTGTTAATTAACTTATTAGACTTCAAGTGTCTCAGCTATAAAACACTGAAATAATTTAATTGAAATACTTTAGTGATTTGAATTTTTCATTTATAGACTGTAGTGGGCACAGACATTGCAGAGCTTTTGCTACGAGATCACAAAACAGTTTGGCTTCCTGGGAAATCTCCCAATGAAGCAAACTTGATTGACTTCACTAATGAAGCTTTGGAGCAAGTGGAAGAGGAGTCGGTCGAAGCTCAACTCTCATTTCTCACCGATAGTCTTATAACCACAATTGACAATCTTGAAAAAGAGATCGAGAGATTCAGGGAGCTTCTGCTCTACGGTCGTAAGAAGGTGAATGATCACATTGTTGTTAAAGGACTGGTTGAGTTTGTTTTACTTGGATTTATTGTTCCAAAACCCACATGCTCTTAAAGCTCTAGTGGCTTGCATATAATTAAAATATCAAGTAATAAAAATGAAAGTTAAACATATTAATGTGTAATATTATGGTACTATCAATGTCCTTAGCACTCTACAGTAAAGAGACCTCCATGCCCCCAAAGAATTCGCAATTCAAATCTAAATTATATTGTATTGCTCTAGCATGTGACTTAATGAGCATTTTCAGTTCATAGTCAGAAGTTACATGCACTAGAAATCATTAGTACTTTGTACTGAGTGGTGTATTAAACTTGTTCCCTGGTAAACTGATTTTATTTTTCTTATGCTTTCTGCATTAATAGGATGCTTTGGAGTCTGCTATGAAGCATGGATTATGGGGTCATGCTCTGTTGCTTGCCAGTAAAATGGATAGCAGAACACATGCGAGAGTCATGACCAGGTAAAGCTCCATTACTTGAGGATGATGATTAGAATGTTTCTAGTATGGAATAGACATTTATTTCCCATTGAAGAGAGAAACTCGTGTGCCTCGGAAATTGAGGCCAAAGTTGTTATGTGTTCCTGTGTTTATGTGGGAAGTCTGCATGTTGATCTAAGTCATGTTGCAGGTTGAGTTTCAGGGACGTTAGACTTCACAGAATTGCAGTGATTCTTATGTCTGACTGTTGGTAAGAGCTTCTTTGCCACCTCCTTCACTGTAACATGACTTCCTCCATGGGTCTTAAACAGACTTACTGGCTGACTAACAAATCTGCTTTGCTTTGGTAGAAAAAGTGGTCACTCTCCATTGCAGCTGCTGTTCTTTGAGATGTATTGTTCCTATCTATTCCAACTGAGGTGTGCGCGCACCACGTGCACGACTGGTGGAAAGTTTTTTTTTTCCTTGGCTGCTACATATTGGGTTGGCTATGGAGCCCCTGGAGTGTTTCTGGTATAGCACACTATATATGACCCTGCTGACCCAACCACCTCTCAGTTCCTTCTTGCCAGCTGCTCTGATACTGGGAAGGAGGGTGAGTATGGAATAAATGATCAGGTCTGCTCTCCACAGAACCCCTCGGGAGTGGGTGCAGCTCTGACAGAACCAGCTGTGAGAATGACTGACCACGAGTCAGACTGGGGGTGATTATGCCAGGATTACAAGTAGAGAGACAGTGGGGCTGGAATTGGTGGGCCCATGATGGCTGGCGTCCCCCAGGCAGGCTGGCGGGAAGTGGAGACCTTTGTCCCACGATGTGGACTGCATCCTTTTGATGATGCCCCACGCAGCCTTGAAGGTGTCTGGCATGGAGGACAGGCTCATCACCAATGGTTCACCACTCGGAGCCCAAGAGAATGGGGGAGGGCCTGGCAGTTCAGGCCTGCTAATCCTGGCGGTGCAGAGTGGGAAACCGGAGCTGGATGCACCAACGTCAAGGCTAGGCCTCTTTGGAAGCCACCCTGGGGAGCATGAGCAGCACCACTTAGACTCCACAGGGGCGCAACTGTACCAAGAGGGTCTTATTATTTTTTTTATGCCAGTCCCGGAACCAAAGGAGGTGTGTTGCACGCTGAAGCACTTGGTGCTGAATCCTGCAGTTGGAGAATGGTTTCCATGAGGTGCTGCTCCAGGCAAAAGTTCCACTTCTTGCTGGTGCGTGGCTTGAAGGCCTTGCAGATCTTGCACTTGTCAGTCTGCAGGGCTCCCCACCAGACACCAGAGATACGAGTTGTGGCGGTCACTAGTTGGCATAAACTTAAGATAAAGCCTGCAGGGTTTGCAGCCCTGGGACTTTGGCATGCCCCAAGCCCTGAAGGATCATTGGAGTGAAAGGAAAATCCCCTTCACCTCCCATTCCTAACTCCAACACTAACTTAACTATTGATCTAACTATTTACACAACCAATAGTGGGAAGCGCTAGGGATACAAGGCACTTGCAAGTTCCAACAGCCATCACTGGCGGTAAGAAGAAACTGAGGAGTGGTTGAATTGGTAGGGTCATATATAGTGCACTGCACCAGCTCCATTCCAGGGGGCTCTACAGCCGACCCAATGGGTAGCAGCTAGGGAAAAACTTTCCAACGCGTGCACACCTCCAATTGGAATACATGTGAGCAAGCACTCGAAGAATTATGCCATACAAACTACAGACCATTAGTGTAGGAATTAGCTGCACTTCATGTTTCAAAACCCAGATTTTCACACTCAAGGGATTAAATATTGTCAACAAGGCGTGAGGCTTCGCTGGGCCCTGCATCCCCAACTGCAGTCAGATGTGACTCTCTCAGCAGGTAGAACAAACGGTTTATTTGTTGACAGGGATACAGAATAGAACAGACTTGGCAGCACAGAAACCGGAAGCAGTTAGTACAATCCTTCTTGGGGGGGGGAGGGGCTCAGAGCCAAGGGCCCTGCACCCCAAGACAGTAAGACTAACTCTCACACCCAGAAGCCTGCCCCAGCCCTGCAGCTGGCCTTTGTCCAGCTTGACAAAAGATGTCACCGTTTACATCACCCTCTTTCAGGCTCTGGTTACAGAAAGCATCAACCATTGTGTACATGAGGTCGACTATCACCCTGAAATTCCTATCACCTAGCAATTGGTGCAGTGCTCAGGGAAATGGTGGTGCGCACATACAGGTTTACCACAGGACAATAGAAATCACGTGTGACATAAAGCAGAGTGAATACAATCCCCACTACCTCTCAAATACATTGTGTATGTTTGTGTTCCCGTCAGAGTTTTGGGTGGCTACTTATTCCCTTACTTTTGGGACTTTAATACCTGACTAATGTTATGGCCCTGCTCCTTCTCATTTCGGAAAGAAGCAACTATCTTCCAGCAAAGACTGTCTGTAGATAAGAACAGCTTTCTCTGTCCTCCCACAGCTTCTGAAACAGTGTTACACCTACTGTCTGTTGGCAGTAGGAGCCTGACTCGTGAGGTTGTTCCTATCATTGTATTTGTATATGGCTATACTGCAGGTCTAATAGTTTAGCCAGTAAATGTTTTTTTAAAGGTGACTCAGTGAACTAAACTAAAAATGTTAGCTGCTTACCTACAACTATTTACTTTTGTTTTTCTGTAATGTGCATCTAGATTTGCCAACAGTCTTCCAATTAATGATCCTCTGCAAACTGTTTACCAGCTCATGTCTGGAAGAATGCCAGCAGCATCCACAGTGAGTTTTAAGAAAAAGCTTCAGTTAATGCTTGTGTATGTTCTGCTGTGAATTACCTCTTGCAGCACATCAGCAGTATGCTTTTATGTATAACTGGGTTCCAAAAGAATTGGGTAAGTTCATGGAGGGTAGGTCTATCGATGGCTTTTAGCCCAGATGGTCAGGGTACAACCCCATGCTTTGGGTGTCTCAAAACCTCACTGTCAGATGCTGGGATGGGATGATGAATCACTTATAAGTCCCTGTTTTGTTCATTCCCTCTGAAGTATCTGGTACTGTCACTGTTGGAAGACAGGATAGTAAGCTAGATGAACGAGTAGTTTGGCCATTAAGTTCTTGCATATCTTACCTAGAATGCAAAATTGTGCTACCCCTTACTCAGTTTGTAATTTTTACCCACACACCCTTCCATTCTATGGCTTGATGGGTATCTATTCTAATTCTAGTGCTGTGGGGATGAGAAATGGGGAGACTGGAGGCCTCATCTTGCTATGGTACTATCCAACTTGACCAATAACATGGATGTGGAATCGAGGACTATTACCACCATGGGAGATACTCTTGGTAACTAATTTGAAGTTGAATCTATAGAGCATAAAGTGGGTAAATAGCAAGGCTGTTTATATTGGGAGCAATAGCACAGATGTGGGCTATGAACAAATGAAGGGTTTTCTTAAACACAAATTGCTGGGTTTGTTTTATTAAAACTAACAGTTGCTGCTTATACAATAAAAGTGAATCTCTTTTAGTTCTGCAGATTTCTGTTCTGTGAACTATTCAAGATACTATGAATTAGTTGTGTCATTAAGGTACTATTTCCTATGTGATCTATGTGTTTTGTTTCAGCTTCAAAAGGCCTTTTAGATGCTGCTCATTTTTGCTACCTGATGGCCCAGGTCGGGTTTGGTGTTTATACAAAGAAAACAACAAAGCTTGTCCTACTTGGATCAAATCACAGGTGTGGAATTCAAATTACGTGTCTGTTTTTGTAAAATTATTTATCATAGAATCATAGAATACTAAGGGTACATCTAGACTACATGCCTCTGTCGCAGAGGCATGTAGATTAGGCTACCAGACATAGGAAAATGAAGTGGCGATTTAAATAATCGCCGCTTCATTTAAATTTACATGGCTGCCATGCTGAGCCGACAAACAGCTGATCAGGACTGGAAGAGACCTTGAGAGGTTAAGTTCAGTCTCCTGCCCTCATGGCAGGGCCCAGTACTGTCTAGACCATTCCTGACAGACATTTATCTAACCTACTCTTAAATATCGTCTTTTAGATTAAAAGATGAAAATATAAGGAAATGGGCTACAGTATTTTAACAAGTAACACTCCACAATAATCTCTTAATTAAAGTTGTTTAGGACCTCACCACTTATTTTTTGAAGCATGGAAATTTCTTGATCTTATGCTTTGTACTCAGTACTGCCATGTGACTTATGATGCTACTCGCACATCAGAAATTATCTACATTAGAAGTGATATCTCCAGGTTTATGTGTTTCACTTTTCTATCAGCCTGCCATTTCTAAAGTTTGCCACCAATGAAGCCATTCAAAGAACAGAAGCGTATGAATATGCACAGTCACTGGGAACCCAGCCCTGCTGTTTACCCAATTTCCAGGTTAGGAGTGATTCTTTTTTTCTTAATGTTGTGTGTCAGGTTTTGTATGAGGTGCTCTTTCACCTTGTTTATGAATGGGGTGGTGTTCACTTTCATTGCGTACTCTCTCAAGTACAGGCAGTCCCCGGGTTACGTACAAGATAGGGACTGGAGGTTTGTTCTTAAGTTGAATCTGTATGTAAGTCGGAACTGGCGTCCAGATTCAGCCACTGCTGAAACTGATCAGTTTCAACAGCGGCTGAATCTGGACGCCAGTTCTGACTTACATACAGATTCAACTTAAGAACCCTAGGCATCCCCAAGTCAGCTGCTGCTGAAACTGATCAGGGGCTGATTCCACGAAGCCCGGGGCAGGGGCGTGGCT